AGAGTGAATGAGTGATGATGTCCATAGAAGCTCTGATTAAGTAGGGCAGGATCAAAGGCACCGTGTTAAGGGAGGGGGGTGGAGTGCAGTGGGCAGGCGCTGGCTTCCTCTTGGCATGACGGAGATTGCTTCAAGAAACCAATGCGGCTGCGGCATCGGACGGTGGCACAGTCCCATCTCTTGCCAAGAAGTGCTGTTACATTTTATGTGCTCAAGAGCTGGTCTTGCCACCTTGCGGAGCTCCAAAAGAAAGGACCAGGCAGGAGAGGCTGGCATGTACTGCTGCATGGCCCTCTGCCCACCCTATGACACCAACAGCCCAGGCAGGCAACTCCTCCTCCCCCTCCCCATCCCATCCCAAGCGCAACAGAGAGAAGCCGGTTTGCTTAGGCCTGAGTCATTAATCGAAGGCTTGTTGTCTCCTGGGGCTGCAGCAAAGGGCGCCAGAGGAAAAGCTCTTTTTCTTCCTCTTTTGTTTGGTGGGCTAAAATTGGAAGGAAATTAAATCCCCAAAGTGAGGAGCTGAGAAAATGAAGAATGAGGGAGCCGAGAAGCTCCTGTGTACGGCTGCAAAATTACTGTCTGCTTCCTCTTAATTAAACACTTCATCCCTCTGATCATGGCGGGGGGGGAGGGGTGGCAAGCTTTCCAGCCCAGGCACCGTTGGGTTCACATCTCCCCCTCGTGAGGATCTCCTAAAAACTAACTGTTCAAAGTGAAGCAAAACTCTGGCCAATCTCAATGGCAAGATGAGCTGAGCTGGTCCCTAGGCCTGAAGCGTTGCTGAAAAGCAGCTGAGCCTAGACATTTTGGGCCAGGATTAGCAGAGCCTCTAACCAGACTGATGGAGCCAAGCATTTATTGATTGCTTTGTACCCACTCCCCTTCCCCCAATAAGGACCCAAAACAGCTTAGATCATCATTCTCCCCCCCCCTCCATTTCCCCAATATCTCTGAGAGGTAGATTAGGCTGAGAGAGAGAGAGAGAGTGACTGGCCCTAGGTCCAATGCTCCCTCTAAGCTATGGAGTCTTTTGAGCAAAAATTCTACTTTGTGAGGTACTGGCATTAAAGTTGTGAGCAAGCGATTTGGCTACGGCATCCGTTAGTTTGCTCTGGAGCCATCCTTCCTGAGCTACGAAATGTGGGAGCCGGAAGCTAAAAACCTGTGAGCTAGCTCACACTAACTCAGCTTAGAGGGAACACTGCTTAGGTCACCCAGCAAGCTTCCATTGCAGAGTTACAACTTAAACCCAGGTCTCCTGGATCCTAGCCTAACCACTATAACCCAGTCCCTCATATTGCAGGCACACTCTGGTGGGCACAGGCATACCCATTTGGAAATGCCTGTGGGCCCCTTTCTCAGGCTCTCCTTGCAGCCTTTCCTAGGAGAGTGCTGGCTTTCTCTAGCCAAAAGACCTTTCGAGCACCTTTTGAAGCTAGAGCTGAAATGCTCTGCATGTGCCAGACCATCCAGGAGGGAGTTGATCCCCAGAAGGAGCCAGCCTGTATATGACTACTAGTGTGGACTGCCTGGAAGGGAAAGTCAAGAGAGTGAAGGCTGCATCTAGAAAAGTCATTTTAGGATAACACCATTCAGGTATGTTTATCCAGACTGGCAGCTCTTTATGTCTTAATACATTTGGAGCATCGGCCCCCTCCCTCAAACACACCTTCATCCCTTGCCATTCCCCCAGCTAGGTTTGGCTTTGCTCCCATGATAGGAGGGAGGCATCGGCTCTTCTCTTCTCATGTCCCACATCTGTCCCCTAAGCACAGCATCTGCACAGGAAGGAACTCTTGCCTTGAGGAAGAGGAGCTGCGTTTGGAGTTTCCCAAGCGGCAGACTCAGTTTGACAGTCTCCTGGGGCACACACCTGGCCCCTCCTCACCTCCCCAAACAGAGACCTGGCAGATTTACTCCAGATCAAGTGTCCAAGAAGGGTCCATTCCAGCAATGCTTAGAGCTGCAAGCAGCCAGTCTCCTGTGATTCCCTGCCCCCCCCCCCATCCCAGCCTGCAGTCACTTGGGAAGGGATGGAGAGGAAAGAGCCCCCCTGGCTGGTGCTCATCTATATGCTGGCCCCGTTGCTGCCAGCATTTCGGAGGAGCAAATAAAAATAGCACTCAGTCATTTTGTAAATAAGATCCACCCCCTCACTTGCCTGGGGAGTTGTGAGTGATTGCCAGAGCGAGGGGGCGTGGAGGGGGGGGATCCTGGGCAAAGAAAGGCAGAGGCCAGAAGACAGGAGGGGGAGGGGAGCCGACCCCAAAAGAAGGAATCAGGTTCGGGACAAGGGGTGAGGAAGGGATGCTCTGATGTGCCACTGAAAGGATACAGTCCTGGGGCTGGCGATAGGAATCTGACTGCCCTGGGCGATTCTGCATCTAGCATTCGCTCCACATTTTCTCAACTGGGAGGAACAAGTGCAGCTCAAAACCACATTCGAATACCTTGGGGCAATGCCATACTACAAAGTCACCCCTAAACGGCCATAAAACAGCCATAAATCTATGCAGAAGGGACCATAAAACCCAATGGTCAAAGGAAGCGAACGTGGCATGGAGTGAGGAGGCTAGCATGCAACGCAGAGGGGGAATTTCTGTTCCAACATGGGTTTCGTAAAACGACAGAGGGAAACACCAATGCAGAATCAGCCCCTGCCTCCCTGTGGCTGCTACTGTGGCTTCCTAATGAGACTGACAACCAAGGTGTGACCTTTGCTGATGTTCCAGAAGCCAAAGGTGTGTTTGTGCTTAGAAATCATTATGAAGGCCTTTTTCAGAAGCACATATTTTTAAAAAGAGGATTGCGATGAACCAGGAAATGAACTGCAGGGTGAGCACAGTCAGGGCCACCAAGAGAGGGCATGGTAAGGATACTATTATGGGGTGGGACTAGTTGAGCAGCTAGTTGAGCAGCTGGTTCCATGGAGATCCACGGAGATCCAGCGAACCACCAGACATGTCATTTAATTTTGTATATGATATTTAAGTTGGTGATGTGAGCACGGGACCCAGAGACAATCTTGATCTCAGGGCCTTGGTGGCTCTCAGCAGCCCTGGCCAAGGTTTTGGGGAGAAACTCAGCTTTTGTACTGTTTACATTGCCAGGGCTCCCTACTGTGACTGTCCATGACCTCTCCTTCCTGTTCCCACACACAATGCACTGTTTTAATGTACTCCACACACTCAGCCTAGAAGATGTTTCAATTATTAGATTGTTCAGGTCTATTCACACTGTTTGTTTATCCATTGAAGTCCTCAGCTTCTCCTTAGAAGCCTTGACCAGATTGTCCCCTCCAGCTGGGGATTATGAGATTGCAGAGTGATGAGCACCTTTCCCAATTTAAGTAATATTTTCCTATTCATTTCCATCTTGAATACTTCATTGAAGGCAAAATATATCAGACCTGGTAGCTAGTTAACCAGTAACCATTTCCAATCAATCTGTTAGTCAGCAAAGGGCATATCCTATAACAGACTGGGCTGCTATGCCTTCAGGGACCCCAAGTTATTGCCAGACATCCCATTTAATATTTCACAGCACCACATAGATGCAATCAACACAGGGGCCAGCTATTTATTTGTTTGTTGTTCACTCTGTTGGTCCCCTGGGACACCCGTTCACTGTCTCATCCATGCTCTGTTGTGTGTTTGTAAAGTGCAATCAAGTCACAGCCGATTTATGGTGACCCCCATAGGGTTTTCAAGATGAGAGATGAACAGAGGAGGTTTGCCATTGCTCACCTCTGCATTGCATCCCTAGACTTCCTTGGTAGTTCCCCACCCAAGTATTCACCAGGACTGACCCTGCTTAGCTCCTGAGAACTGACATGATCAGACTCACCTGGACCTTCCATCTATGCCCTAACATCATCTGTCTTCTCCACTTGTCCCTTAAATTGTATTCAGCTGTAGATTATCCCTGTGGCCATATTAGTGGGATGCCACCAAATCCTCTGGAACTTGGAACTCCTGAAGCCTGTTACTCAGATATGTTTCCAGACCATAATTGCACTTGGTTTTGCTCACCTCTGTATGCCACAATTCCTCTGCCCTTTGTTTGGTTCCAGGGTGGATTATTGCTTTCTTTAATGTGAGATGAAGTTAGTGGCTTCATGTAAACAGTCCCTGAGAAAATCATAGGCTTTGGTGTCATGGCTGTTAAGGTCAGCCTTATGTCTCCTTTAAAGAAGGGGCAGACAGTGCTTCTTGAGAGGAAGAAGCATTTGGAGAGCTTTGTAGGAATGGACAGTTATAGACTTTCAGTATCCCATTTGGACCTGTAAAGCAGACAGACACACTTGAACAGGTGTGGAATAAATATTATGTAAGATGAGCAACAAAATGAGCAGATTGGCCTATGTTAATTAATGACACTGGCTTTCCGGTCAGGCTGTTCTGTCTGAATATCTTTCTCAGTGCTAGGTTTCAGAATCCTGCTCAGCATCAAGTAAACATGGGATGGTGCCATTCAAGGAATACGGTATCCCTTCCTAGGCATGAGGACCACAGAAGAACAGGTATGGATGGAGGAAGCCAGCAAACACAGAAAGGGGTGGAGGAAATGAGGTCCTCCTCCTTTCAGTTGCAACTAATCGAAAGCATTTGTCACACTGCTCTTTCTAAATCTGGTGGATCTTTCAGTGCTTCTCATGTTGAAGGATAAAAAGCATACAGAAAACGGAAGGGAGGCTCAGACCACCCAAGTTAAAAATGGCGTTGTGTAAGTCCTTGCTGTTGAAAGGCACTCGGAGGAGCTCGTCCCTGAAACAAACCTGGAGGGCTCTAATGGAGTCCTGCATGCCCCATCATGTGTTTAGAAAACTGACCATTCTTCAGTGTACATGGCTGAGAACAATAGTGGATCATTTCGTGCTAATCTAGGGAAGCAGCTGGCGCAGCAATTTCAGACCAAACTAAGGTAGAAATTACATAGGGAAGCATTCGCTATGCTAATGCAAATCATCCTTAATAGCTTTTTTTTCCCCCCAGCAGACGACGTAACTGAAGTCAAGACAAACATTTACGTGACAAGTTTTGGGCCCGTCTCAGACACAGATATGGTAAGGAGCTGCTCTCATCATCTGTGTAGAGAACCAGGGGTGGGGCTCAGCAGTGCAGCATCTGTTTTGCATGCAGAAGGTCCCAGCCTTAATCTTCAGCATTGCCAGTTAAAAGGGTCAAACTGTAGGTGACGTGGAGCACCTCTGCTCTGGCTGGCAGTAGCTTTCCAGAGTGAACAGGATTGACTTTGGTAGGGTAATGGTCTGATGCCGTATGAGCAGCTTCATGTGTTCATTTGTGTCTAGGCTTCCAGAGAGAGAGGATGTTCCTGAGTGCTTTCCAGTAGTCCCTTTCCTCCTGGCACCTTGAGGCATCTTTGGGAAAGTCTGTAAACTCATAAGTGACTATGGCCATGAAGGAATGTTCCCTCAGGGTACAACTTTCTGAGAGCAGCAAGAACCCATCCTGAAATTCAGTGTTCTCCTTACTTGAAGACCCTGAGCCTGTAAAAAGAATCATTCTCAGCCTGGATTTTCTCCCCTCTGCTCTGGTGGAGACAACTACAGACAGAGAATAGAAGGAGGGAACTCTCTGCATGGGAACCTTAGAGTCTGGAGGGCCCAGAAAGGATCCTTTGCAGTTCAGGATGACAGCCCTGGATGGTAAAACAAATGTAGTCTCTTCCCAAACCAGAGGAGATGGACTGTCCCCAAATGGCCACTTACACTTTGCAAAGAGAGCAGCAGAGCAACAGGTGTGAAGCTTACCATTTGAAGCAGAAGGCAACATGGCATAGTGGTTAGAGTGCTGGACTAGGATCTGGGAGACCCAGGTTTGAATCCCCACTCTGTCATGGAAGCTTGCTGAGTGACCTTGGGCCAGTCACTTTCTCTCAGGCTAACCTACCTTACAGGGTTGTTGTGAGGATAAAATGGAGGAAGGGGAAACACTTTTTTAAAGATGCTCTGGGTCCCCATTTGGGAGAAACGCAGAGTATAAATATCTTCATAAATTAAATAACCTTCCCCTCCACCAAAGGACCTAAAAGAGGCAAAAGACAGAAAGAAAAAATAATGAAAGCATTCCATATGGGGTGGGGAGTCAGTGGAAGAGAAAGAATGAAAGCTGGGCCTGGCTTGTGGAGAGAAACCTACTAATGAAAAGTTAGAGACTGGCCCTGACCTGGATAGCCCAGGCAAACCTGATCTCGTCAGATCTTGGAAGCTAAGCAGGGCTGACCCTGTCAAGTATTTGGATGGGAGACCTCCAGAGAAAACCAGGACTGGGAAGCCAGAGGCAGGCTATCAAGCCACTTCTCTGAACGTCCTCCATGCCCTACTAGGAGTAGCCAGAAGTCACCATGACTTCCAGGCATGGGCATGCGCGTGCACGCACACAAATCCCCCACCCCAAAAAGTTAGAGACTGAAACAAGGCGTTTCTTCCCACAACAATTTGTCTAAGTAAAACAGACATGGAAGGGTAACTTACTGGAAGCTTTCCCAAATCAGCCCAAGTTGCTTTGTGCCAATGGATTTGATGAAAATGAAAATTCCCATGCTACAGAAGGATCCATCCCCATGCTGAATTATGAGAAATTATTACTTCCTGGCATTCCCCCATTCACAAAAACTTACCCAAAATGAAGGAGGCAGTGTCTACAGAACCCTGGCTTGTTCTGTGCTGCTTCACTGCACCTTCTCTGTCCTTATGAATTGGATCACACTAGTCCAGATGTCTCTAAGCATACTGGACCAAGGGACCCTTGATAATGCCCAAGACTTGCATCTGTTTGCTAGGGTTCAGTATGGTGGGGACTGTTCCTACTTGTACTCTTTCCCCTGTGAGCGAGAGGCAGCTAGATTTGGCCCTCCTGGGAGACTCAATCAGGCCCGATGTTCAGTGTTGTTTGTGAGCCAAGCCTCTTGCCTGACCCCTGCAAGAAGGAACATAATCTAGGCAGGCTAGCCAGACAAAAGCCTCTTGGTTGCCCAGCACAGAAGCAGACCACGAGGCTGTTCTTCTCTGAAAGATCAGTCAAAAAGCAGAATGACTGACCCAGGGGGTTGGGAAATAATTAATGCTTTATAATATTCCATTTCTAAGAGTTCCCCATCAATGGGCTCTTTCTGGCCCTGGAAGGCCATCTCCCTCTGGGGTGAGAAGTTAATTCAATGTCACTCGAGCCGCTGCTTTTAATTTGGCCTGGTGTCTCTCTCTTGCTGTCACACTTCCTTCTTCTCTTTCACACCAGAGCAAAGAACCTTAATGTATTCAGCCATCCAACCCTCAGGGAGTATCTCATAATTACTTCTAAGGTGGAGCATATTTGATTAAGGGAGCATGTATAATGAACTGTGAAGAAGGGAAAAACGTAAAGGTATTGAGAAATGGAAGGTATTCTCTGCTGAGTGATTTTTGCCAAATGTACTCAACATGAGGAAGGCAGATAAAGAACATTATGTCCCATCCCCACCCTGCTTTGTTTGTTCTGGTTCCACCCTGTTGGTCCATGCATACCAACTGTGGTGGTTTAGGGGCACCCTGACCAAAAGCAAACCAACTAGCACCATCCTCCCAAAGAGCAAGAGAGAAGGGAATCAACAGAAGGGAAGAAGTGTCCAGTGTGCATCAAGAGTTTTGTGTCCGTTGAATGAAATAAAAACAAGCAAGAACGATCCTATAAGAGGGCACCTCTTTGTGCTTGCCAGGAGGAGTGGTATTGGCAGCTACAGGGTACATGTTTCTGGCATTGTTTATACTCATCAACCCCACCTACTGTTACTGTGGAAACCAGCATTGGGGGTTGTGTTTGACTGCACTTGTCGCTGGGTCTTCTGTGTTCTTGCCTAGGATGAATAATTGAGAAAGAACTGGAAAGAGTTGTAGACAGCGCTGCAGTAGCCCCTGTTAGACTGGAGTGTTTGTAGAGCTGACAGCCCTCCAAAACTCTATCCACCAAATACATAGGAAGGAAGAAGAAAGAGAGAGAACATCTGGGAGCATCACCCCGCCGTTGCTGTTCCACATTCTCTTTCTACAGAATGCCAGAAATAAAATTGTCAGCAGTTGATCTAGACCTTAAAACCTCCCCATCTGTTCCTTCAACTACAATAATTGACATCTAGGGCACTACACATAAAGCCTCTACAGAAGATACTATGTTGAAGAAACCAGAAGCAGACACAGGGCAGACCCACAATACAAATGTATGTTTCCATGCCACTTTAACTGTGACGGCTCCTCCAAAAGAAGGGTTTGTAGTGAAGATACACCTTGGAGGTTACAGTATTTTACTACCAGATATTTGTCTTACTAGAAACCAGATCAGGCCATTGTTGAGAAGGGAGGAAGAAAGCAAGACCTGGGATTGGAAAAAATGTCACCAGTAAATAGAACTGGGGGAGTGAAACCAAAACGGAGAGAACTGTGAGAAAATGGCCCCAGAGAGCAACATGCTGGTGAACTCTGGCCCCCCACATAGCTGTTGCCCTAGTACAGGGGTAGCCAAACTTGCCTAACGTAAGAGCCACACAGAATAAATGTCAGATGTTTGAGAGCTGCAAGATATAAATATTACACACACCTTTTTATTGGAAAATATGAAAGATTGCTTTTTATTAACATTAAATGAGACTGCCAAAAATAATAACAAAAGTGGTAAAAGCAGATATTGATAATGATATTTATTTGTCCAGTGATATTTATTTGGTTGCTAATGATATTTAGCTTCCTCAGCCACCCTGCCGGGAGCCGCACAATATGTGTGAAAGAGCCGCATGCGGCTCCCGAGCCATATTTTGGCCACCCCTGCTCTAGTATAAGAGGTACTTGTGGCGAGTAGTGGAGGGACACCACAAGGTCCCCACCAGTGTTCCCTCTAAGCTGAGTCAGTGTGAGCTAGCTCACAGTTTTTTAGACTCCGGCTCATACATTTTTGTCTTAGCTCAGGAAGGATGGCTCCAGAGCAAACTAATTTATGCAATAGCCAAAGTGCCTGCTCACAACTTTAATGCCAGTAGCTCACAAAGTAGAATGTTTGCTCACAAGACTCCACAGCTTAGAGGGAGCATTCCCACAATCTGCTTTGGTGATGGAGCAGCAGCAGCATATGGGTTCCCTTCAGTGTTCTCCAAGTCCCGTAGTTATTTGGCAAGTTGTCCTGAAAGATGAGACCTCATAGCAGTATGGATGAAACCATACTCCCGTCTAGCTGCATCTCTTCACTGTGCCCACCCCAGAAGGAGGAGGAGACAGCAGCAGGGGTTATGGCAAAGCTTGGTCTCTCCAGCCACTGGAGGGGAGGTAGGCCAGGCCCTACAAGTTATATATAAGGACCCCAAAGCCTGCTCTCAGAGGAGGGGGTTGAGGAAGGATTGTAGGAACCAGTGTTCCCTCTAAGCTGAGTTAGTGTGAGCTAGCTCACAGTTTTTTAGCCTCTGGCTCACACATTTTTGCCTTAGCTCAGGAAGGAGGGCCCCAGAGCAAACTAATTTATGTGGCAGCCAAATCTCCTGCTCACAACTTTAATGCCAGGAGCTCACAAAGTAGAATTTTTGCTCACAGGGCTCCATAGCTTAGAGGGAACATAGGTAGGAACCCCTCCAGGAGGAGGCTACCCCATTAGGATCAACATGGAGGAAGGAAAGAAGCCCCTAAGAAGAGTGATGCCCCAACCCCTGTCCCTGTGGAGGGATCCTTGGCTTCGCCCTCTGAGGATGCCTTTTTCAAGCCGGCTGTAGCTCAGGAGGGCCTTCCACCACTACTCTACCAGACCTAAAAGCAGTAGGAGGCATTCCAGCCCTTCCAGAGTAAGGGGGGGGGGAAATGAATCTTGGGGGATGTTTCTCCATGCCGATGTCAGGCTATTTAACCTTAATTCTGCTCCAGATGCACACTAGAACAATACCTATCCCTCCTCCAGGGAGCTTGCGTCCAGGCCTCTTGGTGAGCTGGCCATGGTCCTGAACATCATATTGATTGTTCTGAGTGCCTGTCTCATGGAGACAGTGTCTGTCTGATGGTGACAGGCTGCCACCATGGACAGCAACCTAACACTAGAAGTTGAAGTGTCTATGCTTGCAAATAGCTCACCCAGCCATTGATAAAGTTGTTAGATTTTGTATGCGTTGGTTTCAGGTCGTCCTGAGATGCTCTCAAAAGGTCACTGAACCTTGGCAACCATCTTCAGGGAAACACCATCCAAAGAAAGACCCTAGAGCAAGACTGTGGGGGTGAGCCAGTAAAATAACAGCCTGTGGAAGAAAGTAATGTTTAAATTCATAAATAAATGCATAAACCCAACCCAGCACAAAGTACCCCTTAGTATCACCCACTTGCCAAGGCATCTCCAAAGCTCTGCAAAGGATCCAAGGCTCTGTTCTAGGTTAGGCAGCTTTAGAAGGCTCCTTCCTGCTTTGCTAGGTTGATACAGTTGGAAGGAGGCAGAATAAAAAACTCCCCTGCACTTTGATGGGTATGGCAATCTTCTATACCTTAAGGATGAGGAAAGTGGAAGTTATTTTCTAAACAAACCTTTATGCATGGCTCAGAGGCTTCAAGATTGTAGTGCTCTGGTGAGCCCAGTTAAAAGGTATTTAGAGCTTGTGCAGCCCCCATGACCAAGGGTGGGGGCATTTTTTAGTCTATTTCTATGATTTTTAGTAGCAGTGCTCACAATTTAACCCATCTTCTCTCTGGCAGGAATACACCATTGATGTTTTTTTCCGGCAGTCCTGGCGAGATGAGAGGTTAAAATTTGATGGTCCAATGAAGATCCTCCCCCTTAACAATTTATTGGCCAGTAAGATCTGGACTCCAGACACCTTCTTCCACAATGGCAAGAAATCAGTTGCCCACAACATGACCACACCCAACAAATTGCTTCGGCTGGTAGACAATGGCACTCTTCTCTATACCATGAGGTAGGTATCCCTTTGTGTCCTAAATGGAAGCGCTCTTGTTCCATGCCCCATATATGATCATGAATTGCTGCTCTGAGCCCTCAGGTGAGAAGGTATAAAGAGCTTTCAGGCCCTTTCTACAGCTTTGCACAAGTCCCGTCTTTTAGGCAGCTTGATCAGAGGCCTTCCTGTGTATCTTTACTGTCCCATAGCCATCATGGGCATGATGTGAGAAATCACAGTACCGTCATTTGATATTCCAAGTAATTTTTATTGAGCCATGTCTCAATAAGGAGCTGTGGCTCAAAGGGGAGAAGTGGTGCCTCAGTAGTAGAGCACATTTTTTGCATACAAAAAGTTCCAAATTCAGTCACCAGCCTCTCCAGATGAAAAATCAGATATCAAATGTTGGGAAAGTCCCTTTTCTGTCTGCGGCTACTCTAGTATAAATGTAAGTGTGCCAGCATCTGGGACATGGGTTATAGGGATCAGCTGAGTGATAAGGATGCACATAGATTTCTCACAAAAATCATTGTCTGGGAAAACAGAACTGGCAATGGAATTCTTCCTGTGGGTTTCACACCTGACAATCCCATTGGCAGTGGCCATTATGTCTTGCAGATTGACCATTCATGCAGAGTGCCCCATGCACCTGGAAGACTTCCCAATGGATGTCCATGCCTGTCCACTGAAGTTTGGAAGCTGTAAGTACTAGACTTCCAGGGAACACAAAACAATAGTTTCTTGATTTACAGTGGACAGGGATTTAATAGCCTACTAATCAGGCAAGCCAGCACCTCTGAGTGTGAGCTCATGTCACAGCCTACATTTATCTGTCCGTATAATAGCATCTATTTTATTTTAATTTGCTTTATTGCACTATACCTAATAGTTTTATTTATTTCTTTGTTTACTATATTTATAGTACACCTTTCTCACTTAGACTCAAAGCAGATTACACAGTGCAAACTGATACAATCTTTATAAACTAGGACTTGTAAAAGGACAAGGATTATAGGAGTCCGAATAAGCATAGCGTATTAGACATGACAGAGTGCAGATACAATGCATAAAAACTGGTTTACATCATTAAAAAACAATACAGCACCAACATGGTAGTACATGTAGCAAGCAGATAATATACCCTATATGCAGTGGCATAGTCCACTCCTTTCCCATTACAAAGTACCTTCCTGAACCATTCCATGGTTGTGTCGCTCTACTACATTTATGGGGAAACAAATGCATTTTACATGGTTTGTGGAGTGACAGAAGGGTGGGAGCCCTCCTGACCTCCTCAGACAGGCCATTCCAAAAGATGTGGGCCACAAAAGAGAAAGCACATGTACAGGCAGTTGTCGATCTTGCCCATTTACAAGGTGGTACCAGCTAAAGGCCCAGAACAGATGAGCAAAGCTGTCAAGGTGGAACATAGGAAGAGAGGCAGATAAATGGAACCTGGTAATTGATGGGAAGCCAATGGAGTGACTGCAGAGTGGCTGTAATATGCATGCTCCACCTAGCTCCTATTAATAACCGAGCTGTGGCATTCTGTACCAAATGGAGTCTCCAAGGTAACTTCAAGGGCATTATAATAGTGTAGTCTCGATTTTACTGTTGCATGGATCCAGGTGGCTAGACCAGCTGAGTCAAGGTAGGGGGCCATCTTCCAGGCTTGACAAAGTTGGAAGAAAGCATTTTTTGCAGCTGCATTAAATAGCTTGTCCAGCAGTACAACCCCTAGGCTTGTAACTGAATCAGCAAGGGTCAGCTGAACTCCACTGAAAGTGAGAAGTACATTGTCTTCAAGGCTGAGACTTTTCCACCCAGCATTACTTTCATCTTATCAGGATTCAGTTTTAGTTTGTTCGCTCTTAGCCATTTAACCGCAGGCATCAGGCAGAAGTTTAAGACTTCTACTGCACTGCCAGGAAATTTGGACAGAGAAAGACAGAGGTGGATGTCATCAGCATACTGGTGATACCCAATTCAAAGCTACAAATGATTTCTCCTGAGGACTTTTAAATAGAGATCAAATAGCATAGAGGGTAGGACTATTCCCTATAGAACCCTCCAGGATAAGTCCCACACTGATGACAGCTGGTTTCCAAAAGCAACTCTTTGAGACTGGTCCACAAGGAATGATTTAGTAAACAGGTATTTTATGCCAGTCATGAAGACAGCAAATTCTGACTGTCTCTGGAAAAGGGGAGGTTTCTAATTCAGAGGACTTCCCAGGAGTGCAGACAAATATGACTTTCTAGATGAATTAAAACAGACCATCCTTACTGGTTTGATGAGAACTGAGCATTGTTTTGGAGGCATGGAATATTAAGAGTGGTTGAGAATGTGGTGCTCAAACACCCACCAGTTCAGCTCACATTTTGTTTGCCAGTCACAAACAGGGAGCTGATTTTTTTTTTGTTAATTACTCAGCCATTTGTTTGAGCCTGTTCATTGGGCTACTTTTCATGTATTCAAACTGGAAAAGTACAATACAGTGCAATCAGCAGTGCTTGACACATATGTGTTCTCATGCAGCTCCATGAGAATACTAATTCCCCACAGTTCCACAGGCTTGTTATCACCACAAGCTACCTGACAGCCAATTGTATAAATAAATAGTGAGCAACTCAGTCCATCAGTCAGTGATTATAAATAAACACTGTGGGTTTTTTGGAAGTCTTACAGAGTGGTGTTCATTTAAGTCTGCATCATCAAGGTTATTTTGTGCATGCACATTTTTGTATCACCTTTTGGAAGGCCTGGTTTTCCTCCCACATTACTTAATTACCTGACCTGACCATCCATAACACTGTGGGAGAATTGATTTCACCTCTGATGCAGATGCAAAAGCACCTGCAAGGCCAAAAAAACCCCAACCCCCTCCTACACCACAAGGAAATACAAGTCTGCCTGCACAGCTCCTGTGCCGCCACAGGTCTGTTTGATGGCTGTTCTAGTTGGAGGGCAGTGAACTGAACAAACCCAAGGGTTGGCTCATGAGTGATTGCAGTTGTCAAACAAGGTATGTTCACCTGTTGAACCTTCTTGCCATGAATTTTGCAGCATCCCTAACTGATACTCAGTTAAAGCCCCTAAGAGCTTGTAGCATCTGGAGGGAGAGATTTGGCTTAGAAGAGAGACAGGTTCCTTTGTGTAACAAAGTTCCCAGTGCTTACTGATAACATTTGTATCCCACCATTCCCTCAAGGAACACAAAGTGTATAATGTGGTTTTCCTTTCCTGAACTTTGTCCCTTGGGCAGCTCTGTGCGGTGGGTTAAGCTGAGAGTGGGTGAGTGGCCCAGGTCATCCCATGAGCTTCATGGCTGAGCGGAGATTTGAGCTTGGTCTCCCGGTCCTAGTCCAGCAGCACTCAAACAACTATGCTATACATGAGGGCTACTCAGTTGGCCAGTGAAATGGGGCCACTCGCACACAAGATGACAATTTCTGCATACACAGCAGGCTTCCCAGTATGTAGAAAAATATTATCCCCAGGATTCTATAAGCTTTTAAAGTCTCTGACCACTCTGAAGCCTAAAAAGTCAGAGAGGGAATTAATTCGGGATGGTTAGGTTTTATTTACATCCTTACTTCCGACCATAAAGTCCTCAAAATGGCTTATTATATTTTAAAGTATAATTTTAACTATTTAATCACCTCCCATTCCCAATACATTAGTCCCCCTTGCTGAGAGAATGCTCTAGCTTTAAAAGATGGAACTCCTTCATCAAAAGCACAAAGGCATTCCAAAGACTAGGTGCTACCACTGAAAAAGCCCTGCCTCTGATTAAGACCCACCACACCTCTGCACAGAGCAGGGTTTGGGATGAGGATGTTAATTGGCCAGCTGGACAGTATGGGAGGAGAGGGCCTTCAAGCACCCTACCCCCAACCCATCAAGGCCCTTGAAGGTAAGAATTGGCACTTTGAATTCTGCCCAGAAACAGGTGGGGAGTCAATGCAGATCTTTCAGCCCAAGGGTGGTACATTCCCTTGTGTCCAGCCCCTGAGACTAGCCTGGCAGCCACATCTTTGTGATTTCAAAGGCAGCCTCAGAGCACTATTTCATTATACTACAGCAACTGAAATGATAATGAAGCACACTTCCCTATAATAAATATTTTCCAGTGTATTTTTTTCATTTGAGTGAAAGCAGAAGGTGTTGTTTTTTTTAATGAGCTGGAAACTCTGGCTGCATCCCACCTAACCATGTGCTTCCTCTGCTGCTGCTTAGCTTTTCTTTGTTTGCCTAGAGCAGCCGAACTGGGTGGACAGACTCTTAATTAGACACAGCACATGTCTCAAGGAAACACCAAGGTCAGGAAGTCCCTTCCAGTAGCTGTTTCAGGGAATGTAGTGAGTTTGTGAGGGAGAAGCCTTGGAATGCTGGCCTGTAATCTATAGGTTGTGCAGGTTCCTAGTCTGAACAGGCGCTGAAGTTTCAATCTGACACACAGTTGAAAATTATATCCAGTATCTCCAGCAGGGGGCACTGCAGTTTGGTGCTAGAGAGGAAAATGGAAGCCAAGGAATTGGAAGTGCTTGAAGGACCCCAGAGGGGCTTGCTTTCTAACTTGCTCCCTGTGTACTTGCTGCCTGCTGACATCCAGTCCTAACTCTTAAGAAGGGACAGGGTAGTGTTGGACTTTTTTGTGCCATACATGGCTTGCTTTATAAACAGGGCCTTCATTCCTGACCGTGGAGTTGCATTGGTGGCCTTTACCAGCTATCCTCAATGCAGTTTAGGCCACAATTTAGGTTTGGCAGGGGCTGCAGATTTGCAACAAACTGTCTTTCTTTTATCCTTCCTCTATAGATGCCTACACCAAGTCCGAGGTGAACTACAACTGGACCCTGGGGAAAGTGGAGGTGGCAGAAGGAGGGTCACGCCTGAATCAGTACGACCTTTTGGGCCATGTTGTTTCACGAGAGGACATTGAAACTAGCACAGGCAAGAGAGTAACCTAGTTCTTCTGGGGCTGCAGGCACCCAAACAGTGGCAGAAAGGCTTGGGGAGGGGCAATTTCTCCACAACTGGCAACAGCCACAATCCCAGTTCACATCTGGCAGGGTCCTAAACCACAGTCAAGGCTGGGTGAGGGTACAGATGGAGGGGAGGCCCTTGACCGCCAGAGGACTGGAGGGAACAGAGAGAAACGCCTTTTCTGATCCAGCCAAGATAATCCTTTTGAGATAATTAAAATCCATCTCTAGTGTGGGAAAAACCCTTGGTTTGGGAAGCTGAAGTCTCCTAGGCTCCTCATGTAGTGGCCAAGAGTGCTGGCAGCAGATGGGAGTTTTCCAGAGGACATTGCTATCCTCTCTTGCCCCTCATCGGAAGTCAGGCCAATCTCAATACAACACTCCTGGTGAGTCAAGCATGTGAGCCAAGCACCTTGCCTTGATAGGTGATTTTGCCCTGTAGGCATTCCTTTTTCCATACCAGAAGCCAATGAGAAGCCCAGCTGCTTCCTTTCCTTAGGGACACATTGTCCAGGCTGCAAGGGCAAAAGGCTTCAGAACATCTGTGAGAGGATTACAAAGCTGGCATATGATTGCTTTTGGAACCACCTGCCCCGCATTCCGCTGTGTTCTTTAGAGGTAGTCAGTAATCACTACATGAACTGGCAGTTTTTCAGGACACCGGAGATTGGCCTCACCTCTCCAGATGGCCTCCCCAGTCAGCAAAGCGTGGATTCAGCAACTGAGTTTAGTAATGTGCCTCTTTTCCCTTGCCTTCCTTGCTGGTTCCTCCAGGGGTATATGTTATGATGATCACTTACTTCCACCTCAAGCGCAAGATCGGCTACTTTGTGATCCAGACCTACTTGCCCTGCATCATGACAGTCATTCTGTCCCAGGTTTCCTTCTGGCTCAACAGGGAAAGCGTCCCGGCACGAACTGTGTTTGGTGAGTTTCTGACATAAAGAATCACTGGGCAGCCCAAGAGAAAAGGGACCGAGAAGAAGCAGGGTACTCCTCCTTGGGTAGTGCCATGGCAACCTCTCTCTGGAATGCCATACAAATGCAGAACATTTTGATAAGGTTTAAGGCCTGAGGTTTCCCCCAGGTGAGAAAAACTGTGTTTTGAATAGCTTGCTACCATACTCAGAATGATAACCAACCACAGTTCCCCCCCAGGGGACAGTTTAAAGGGAGGATAGATAGAAATCTTTTCTAGATGATGATGAAGAAGTTGGATTTTTACCCCACCCTTCACTAGGAGTCTCAGAGTGGTTTACAATCTCCTGCCCTTCCTCCCCCCCACAGCAGACACCTTGTGAGGTAGGCGGGGCTGAGAGAGTTCTTGAGAGAACAGCTCTGAGAGAACTGTGACTGACCCAAGGTCACCCAGCTGGCTTCATGTGAAGAAGTGGGGGATCAAGCCTGGTTCTCCAGATTAGAGTCCGCCGCTATTAACCACTACACCAACATGCATTGAAGAATAAAGGATGGTGCATACTGCATAGCCAAAATTACTCTAAGCAGAGTTTGTAATCAACTCTTAAATTAGAGCAGTTCCTCACTAGAACAGGCTTCCTCGGGAGGTGGTGGGCTCTCCTTCTTTGGAGGTTTTAAAGCAGAGGCTAGATGGCCATCTGATGGATCATGAGAGGGAGAGCAGGTAGGCAGATCATGAGAGGGAGAGCAGGAAGGGTTGCCTCAGTGCTTAGTTCTCGTGGCCCTTTCTCACAAACCCAAGGAGATGCCATTCACCACGTTGGGGTCAGGAAGCAGTTTTCTCCAGGCCAGTTTGGCCAGGGATCCTGGAGGGTTTTTGCCATTTTCTGGGCAAGGAGCAGGGGTCACTGGGGATGTGGGGGGTTGGTAGTTGTGAGTTTCCTGCTTTGTGCAGGGGGTTGGACTAGATGACCCTGGAGGTGCCTTCCAACTCTATGATTCTATTCTATGATTCTATGGAAAGGGCTGTAGAGTTCATGAAACTGGGCATGTATATTCATAAGAAATCCAGTGTGGTATAGTGGTTAGAGTTGGGTTAGGCTCTGGGAGACTCATTGTTTGAATATATAGGTTGTGCAGGTTCCTAGTCTGAACAGTCTCTAACATGGAAGCTTGCTATGTGACGGGCCAGTCACACACTCTCAGCCTAACCTACCTCACAGGGTTGTGGGGATAAAGTGGAGGAGAGGAGAATGAGGTCAGCCTCTTTGGGTCCCCATTGGGGGAAAAGGTGGGATATAAATGAAGTAAATAAAATTAATATGGTTATGGCAAGGGAGTGGGTGGAGAAGAACAGTGTGGAGTAAAAATAATAAAAATATTGTATTGGGGTAGTATCATGTTTAGCTTTGAACATGGAGCCTGATAAATTCCCTTGACTTCATAATCCACCAGGGTTAAAGTTTCCAGCACGGCAAAAGCTAAAATTTTAGCCCCATAAGATGCCCAAGACAATTGATGTATCCATAAAAATTGTGGTCCCCGTCGTTATGTCACTTTCTTTCCTGTGGGCGAGAAATGTTTCCAGAGAAGGAATTAAAACGTCCTTCATCCTCTCAGAGTGCTTCCACCTTCTTTGGCCAAATCTAAAAGGGATTGCCCAGTTAAGGGGCCAGTTCCCTCTCCCTTTTGTAAGATCCTACCCAATCTTATGAGGGATGTCAGCAGTTCTGGAGAATTCAGGCCTTGGAATGCAGACTTTTTATATTACACCTGGTCCAGGGATGCAAGGCCCAATTGTCCTTGTTGCAAGATGCCTCCAGTTGGGGAGCCATCAAGGTAGGAAACAGTTGCTTGGGTTCTCTTAGCTACAGCTAATCCTTTAACCAGGTCACACACACTAGAGTTGTTAAGAGAAATTTTCTTAATCTTCTTTACCCAGTTTCTCTCTAAACCCAACAGTCTGTTTCTTTTCCTGTTTTTATGAATTTAGAGTCTGTTTTGAATCGATTCCATTTTGATCAAAGAGAAATTCAAAGAGAGGAGGTGCAGGAAAGGACATTATGCAAAATTTCAGAATTCCACTATGGAGATGCTCAGATGCAGACATTGCCTTCCCAAGGCTTCCTACCCTCCTGCTAGAACACATTCTGGTATATGGCATCAAAACAAAACTCCTGCAAGGGCTGAGACTACAAAAGCACACAGAGAGGGGTAATAGAAACCTTTAAGGAGAAATTCTTCTTTTGAAAGACAGTAAGAGGAATCAATGGCTATATATTTAAAAATAAATTCCATACCCCATAACAATGCTGACAAACACATGCATATTATTTATCTATCATATGGCAGAGTTATACACCGGAAGCATATAATAATATAAAATATGAAACCAAGTTGATACAACAGGTATGCAGACTGCTTGGGCAAGCCCCCTAAATACTAATATCTAAATTTTCAGTCCACTCAATTTTGCAGCTGGGGAGAATTCAAAAAGCTCCATCACATTTCCCTGGAAATCACAACACTCACATTCCTGTGGCAGATGGAAAATAGTTTGGTGGGCTGCGCCACAATCACATTCAGATCCTGGTGTTTTGCCCCATTTAAACAACCGGTCTGCACAACTGCCAAATCCTGTTCATATTGTATTAGCTGTCTTCCATACTTTATGTGGCAAGCCAAATCCTGTGGGCCTCTCATGGGTGTTTATCAGGTTATAGATATCAGGTGGGACTGATTGCATCCATGTTCGCAACCATTCATTCCCTAGATTGAAATTTTGATTGTAGGATTTGTGCAGATCTTATTCCTGGGTGTCAGGATCTTTGTCTGGATTGGCCAGTGTCAGCCATGTCTTTGTGGATGGGCAACTCTCTGTTTTCAATTACCTTTCTATATTCAAGAAGAAGAGCATCTTGTCTTCAGAGATGAGGGGGAGCCATGTGGCACAATGTGGGCAGGAGTGGGTTTAATACATCCGCTGATTATTCTCATTGTTGTATTGAGTTGGACATCAAGTCTGTGGACATGAGGGCTGTTGAGCCACCCTGAAGCACCATATTCCAAAGTACTATACAACAACCCCAAAGCTGAGCATCTAAGTAGTATAGCAGATGCACCCCAAGTTGCAACACATAATTTTTGGAGAATGCTGTTTTGCATGCATATTTTCACAGCTATATTGGTAAGATGGTGTTTTGCATGCATATGGAGAATGCTGTTTTGCATGCATATTTTCACAGCTATACTGGTAAGATGGTGTTTACAGCTCAAGGTCCCATCCAGGGTAATGCCAAGGTACTTAGGTGTATGGTTGTGTGTAAGTCAGGTGCCATTAAGGTAGACATTCAGTTCATGGTTGGCAAGATTGTTATTGAGATGGAAACAGGAGCATTTTTCTCCCCTGGACTTGGGATAAGCTGCCATTTACAGAAGTATTCAACCCAAATTTTGAGGTCCCTAGTCAATATTTCCTCAGTCCTTTCAGTTGATTTGTGCCTTACTGCAATCACCATGTCATTGGCGTAAGCAAACTTCCTGTATATCGTCTTGGGAACATCAGAGATGTATAGATTGAAAAGAACTGGAGTGAGGACTGAGCCCTGGGGTAGACCATTATTCAGTTTCTTCTGCTTGCTGATTGACTGACCTGGTGTCCGTCAAACTACTTGGAAAGTTCTATCACTCAGCATGTTATTTAGGAGTTGAAATAATGTTCTGCAGGGGAAAACTTGTAAAAACTTGTAAATCCCTCCACACTGTGTTGGTATAATTCTAGCTCGCCTCCTCATGATGCACCCTGGATAACACTAAAGAGCTAGAACTTCTGGCTGCCAGACAGTCGTAGGATCTCCTGGCTACACTACACACATGGAAACCCACACACATCTTTTGCAAGATATGATCATTAACCTGACTCTGTGGGTCAAGCCATACTGTGACTGGAACTGAGACCTTGGAATGTGGCCCTAAAAACAGTCATGGGAAGAGAGTGATCTGGTTTGGGGAAGGAGGAGAGCTAGCTCTTCTCCCCTCCACATGTCATTTTCCCTGATTGCCTAATACCACAGTCCCTCTGAACCCTTATAGGATAAGACACGCTTGCAGCCCTATTTTAGTTACATGAAGAATGGGATGGTGGGAAGAATCATAAGGGAGAGTCAAGAAGTGGTGACATTGAACACAGATACTGGAATCTCAGTTTTTCTTCTTTTTTATGGCACTGTTAGATGAGGACTGGGGGCATTCAGGGCTGGAGAGGGGTGGGTCTTCCTTACACCTCCTTTCCATCATTGGCTGTGGTCACACATGCCAAATAATCTATTTTCAATCCACTTTCAGTGTACTTTCCAACTGGATTTTTACTGTGCAAAGTGGCAAAATCCAGTTGGAAAGTGCATTGAAAGTGGATTGAAAGTGGCTTATTTAGTGTGTATGACTGCAGCCAAAAATAGGTTCTGGGGGATTCAAAGAGAAAAAGACATTGACTTAAAAAAAAAATGTTGCATGTATAACCTGAGAACATGACATTTTCTCCATAGGAGCTTTCTCCTAGGTGTCATGCCTAAATGACTGCAGGTATTTGCTGAGTTACGCCTCCTTCCTGACTGGTTAGGTTACTGACTGGTTACTGCAGGTATCTTTCTTGATGCTGGGACTGAAAGCCTACAAATTGTTGCTTTGTTGAAGGACAGCATTGTGGAAATGACCACCAGCTGGTGGAGTTGACTTAGAAATCCCAGAAGAGTCACAATCTAGTATAAATCTGCCACTCACTGAATGAATTTATCAATGCCATCTTGTCAAGAAATCCACCAAAGCTTGGCTTGGGAGCTTGACTACTACTTGTCAGTCCAGAATGAAAATGGAAGTTCTCCCCCGGTCTTTTTGCTACTGTTTTTACATGCAGGGTTGGATTCAAACAGCTTTTCTCCTGGTGAAAATATGAGGGAAGTGTCTTCTTTGACCACCAATAAGAAAGGGAATTGAGCTGCTATCAAGGATCCGACCCATGCTTTCGACTTCAGTGCCTACAGTTTGGCTGTCCTTGAAAAGTGCATACACACCTTAAAAATGACTGCAAAGGAAAACCATCCTCTCTGATACTGGAGACTGCATTTCAATGCCAGTATCTCAGACTGCATCTTACTTTGGGGATTCAGAGTGAGAATCCACAAGGGCAATGCTATCTGCACGTGCAATTTATGGTTGAGTTTTCAGTAACAGAAAGAGCTGTCATTCAAAGCAACTTCCTCCCCACAGTTAATGGAAAAGGTCATGTCCACTGCAAACCTACTATGCCTTTTCCTCCACTTCCTGTCACAGCACCTCGGGATGAAACCATACAAAAGGGTACAGGTGGAAGTCATGCAAGTGGATATTCTAGTCTTACTGCACCCCTACCTGGGTCTTCCAATGAATCATTCCTAGGTATAGAATAGGTTGTACTTGGGATGATTTAGATGCTCCTGCTGAAGTAGATAACCATAAACCATGGACAGGCATACACCTGGGAAGGGTTGGAGCTACCCAACCCTTCCCTTCAAGATGCTCACAGCACAGTCGAAGCCAATCCAGTGGGCATCTCCAGATTCTCTCCGCCTGCCTCCTCAAGTGGGAATTCTGTACACAGCCAGAGTCCTTTTTCCGTGTATCAGCCAGATCTTCAAGCTGCCCTAAGATTGGTGGTTTCCCAAGGCAGAAAGCAGCAAGTGCCTCCCTGTGTCTTTGGCTAGTGAAGGGTAATGGCAACTACTCTCCCTATGAGAGCATTTTTAGGCCCTGGAACAAGAGAGGTGGGTCTTCTTGGCCAGATGCCATCAAGCTTCTTCATAATCCACAACTGTAATTGTCCAGATAGTTAAGAAAACGGAGGCATTGAGGGAAGTGTAGTCACTGCACACGTCAATGTCAGACCTCCAATCATAACCCGTTTCTCCCTCCCGTTCTTCCTCCTCTTACCAGCTTCCTGTCTCCTTTGCACTAGGCCTCGGTGCCTGCCATCAGGTGCAAAAGGTGTTTGCGGCTAAATGTGCTGATGGTACAGCTGGACACAGTCCCGTTGATGTCAACCAGGCTGTGCCCGGTTGTGACACCAGTTCCTTTGGTCTTCAGTGCATCTTCATAGCATCTCAGGGTGGAGGCTTCTGTGGCAGAGTGGCCAAAGGAGGAACATGAACTGCGTGCCAGTTGAAACTTACTAGTCAAGTCTGCTTGGGAGGGAGAAACACTTCTCTGCCCTTTTCAGCAGCAGCCTCTCTGGTTTTGTTTCCACAGGGGTCACCACTGTCCTTACCATGACTACTCTGAGCATCAGCGCAAGAAACTCCTTGCCGAAAGTGGCATATGCGACGGCCATGGACTGGTTCATAGCCGTCTGTTATGCCTTTGTGTTTTCTGCACTGATTGAATTTGCAGCGGTCAACTACTTCACGAAACGCAGCTGGGCCTGGGATGGCAAGAAGGTGTTGGAGGCTCAGGAATTGAAGGTGAGGTCATGGAGAGGGAGCAGCCAAAAAGGCCAGCCAGGCACACATATACCTCACGCCTTGGGAAGTGTGTTCAAATCTTTCTCCAAACAGGACTGAATTCATTAGCAGTGATGCTTGGGGCCCATCAAGGAGACCCAGCCTAGATCCTCAGGGAGTTGGATATTGTACTGTCATTGTGCCACAGCAATAATTTGCAAGTGAATTTTCCTCTGCACAGTCCAGTTGTAAATGATGGCTGTAGCTCAACAATAATGCAGTATTTAACCAAGTGTGGAGGCATCCTAAGAGAGCCAGCAGCCGCCTGCCCTCCCTTTCTGACTTTTTACATGTCACAAAATGAGTTCTTGGAATGCCTGCAACTAAGAAGCAGTTTTGGGATATGAGAGGTCAGTTGGCTTCTTCCATCAGTGAACACGCTAACAAGTCCAACTGTGTATATGCTGTCACACAGATACTTTCAAATGTTTATCTAACTTATACCACTGGCCAACCATTCTCACCTGCAAAGGCACCATGATTATCAGCATGGTTTTGACATATAAGCCATGAAAGTCACATTTCTGCAAGAAGCAGTGGCATCCAATGTTTGTGTGTCATAATCTTCCTGCCATCGATGCCATATTTTATATGACTTTATATCCTACAACACACTAACTGCCATGGGCCTTTCCACCATAGATTTGCCTCATGATTCAGGAGTCCCCAGTCTTGTTGAGTCTGCCGACACATTTGAGATTTTGAGAATGCAGAGTGGGTACCAAGACCAAATGGCTGCCATAGGCGGGGGGGGGGAGGGTTAATCACAAAGTGTTGCAAGCAGTGTTCCCTCTAAGCTGAGTTAGTGTGAGCTAGCTCACAGTTTTTTAGCCTCAAGCTCACACATTTTTGTCTTAGCTCAGGAAGGATGGCTCCAGAGCAAACTAATTTATGCAGCAGCCAAACTGCTAGCTCACAACTTTCATGCCAGTAGCTCACAAAGTAGAATTTTTGCTCACAGGTTTCCACAGCTTAGAGGGAGCATTGGTTGCAAACCAAGCATCCTACTACAGTCAGGACAAGTGAGAGCCACCATGAGCCCCTGGACAAAGATTCCGTCTGGGCTCTCCCCATATGACCCTGATCCAAACCAAATATCATAACAAAACAAATCACTTGGCTGGCTGTTACCACACATCTATAATAATAGAAGGGTCTGCATGCCCATCTGTCTGTCCATTTGTGGCAGGCATTAGGGCTGCCAAGTCCCCCCAGGGGGCGAATAATGCCCCGCTTTGGAGGCCCGATTTCTGCCGCCGCGGAATTGGGCCCTTGGGGAAACCCCACCCCGGTGTGCACGTCAGCCGGATGTGACGTGATGACACCGGGCACGCTCGGGGCGGGGCCACAGCCATTTGAGGGGAAAACTCTATGTTTGAGGGGGAAAACTCTATGTTTGAGGGGAAACCTCTATGTTTTCCCCTCAAATGGCTGTGGCCCCGCCCCCAGCATGGCCAGCGTCATCACGTCACATCCGGCTGACGTGCATGCGGAGCGCGCACGCTCGGGACGCTGATCGGGAGCCCCCCGCCGCAAGGTAAAACAGACTTGGCAACCCTACCAGGCATAACTCATCAAAAAGTAAAACTAGGAATCTCAAAATTGGCCATCAGCTTCAGGATGATTGTGGGAGTTACGGGGCCAAAATGAAAGGAATTGGAATATCTTGGGCCAGGTTATCTCCAGACCTCCCCCTTACACATACACTATTTGCAGTGGAAACAAAACGTGTGTACTGGTTAAAGTGTCTGACTAGGATCTGGGAAACTCAGGTTTGAATCCACCTTCTGCCGTGGAAGCTTGCTGGGTGACCTTGGGCCCGTCACACATTCTCAGCCTCACCCACCTCACAGTGTTGTTATGAGGAGGAGGAGAGGAGAACGAGGTAAGCCACTTGGGGGGATCAGAAGTGGGGATAGACAAATGGCAGATCATGAAAAGGATAGAGCAAAATGAAGGAAGAGAATAGTGTGGGAAAGA